TATATCCGGGAACACCTGACTCTGCACACGAAGTGCAGGGTATAGTATGAGTACAACCAACTCAGTAAGTAACAATAATAAATAAAGAACTGAAGATAGTGACGAGCTACACAGCTACAGTTCATATTTAGTAGTTCCAGCAAAGAATAGACATGCTTTCAAATCTGGCAGTTTAATGTCAAATAGATTTTTATACAGTTCATGTTCATGTAATCCGTATATAAAATCTTTCAGAGATTTCACAACAATGAAAGATAGCAACTAGGTGCAACAACAAACAGAAATCAAGTACAACCTCTCGGGAAAACAATCACTCACTGGGCTCCCAACCCTCATCACTCACACTCCATGGGTACCCGCGCTCACTGAGGATGTACAGACTCCGGAGGGGCTCCTACAGCCCAAGCGCTATAATCTGCACGGACAACTCACGTGTCGTAATATAAATATTCGAATCCGCACGGCCGACTCACGTGCTGCACGGCCAACTCACATGCTATAGTATAATATAAGGATCCGCACGACCAACTCACGTGCTGCACGGCCAACTCACATGCTATAGTATAATATAAGGATCCGCACGACCAACTCACGTGCTGCACGGCTAACTCACGTGCTATAGTATAATATAAGGATTTGCACGGCCAACTCACATGTGGCACGGACAACTCACGTGCTATAGTATCAATATCTCACAATTAGGCCCTCGGCCTCACTCAGTCATAAATGTTTCCAGTCTCTCGGGCTTTCAATAATCATGAAATCAGCCCAAACAACAATGATATGATAGATCAATAATAATAACAGAGACTGAGATAAAATGTGCAAGTAAAAATTGAGACTAAGTACATATAGCATTTAGCAGGCAATTCAACAAGTACGCGACCTCTGGGGGTCCCAACAATACTATTACATAGCCTAAGCATGATTTCTAACATGATTTACAGTCAAATTTTATCAACACATAGAGAGCATATAGCTAACAATAAATTATTCAACTTTACAGTTTTCGGGACGGACCAAGTCACAATCCCCACGGTGCACGCCCACACGCCCGTCACCTAGCATGTGCGTCACCTTCAAAATAATCACATGATACCAAAATCTGGGGTTTCATACCCTCAGGACCAGATTGATAACTGTTACTTACTTCAAAACGTGAAACTCTTTACTCTGCTATGCCTTTGCCTCACAAATCGGCCTCCGAATGCCTCGAATCTAGTCACAAATAATTCGTTTCAGTCAATAAAATTTATTGAAATTAATTCTATAAGAAAATACTAATTTTTCATAAAAATTCAAAATTTAGCTTAACAATCGCTTGTGGGGTCCACGTCTCGGAACCTAACAAAGGTTACAAAATCCCAAAGCCCATTCAATCACGAGTCTACCCATACCAATTTTACCAAAATCCGACCACAACGCGACCCTCAAATCTACAAATCTTATTTCCAAATTTCTAAGTTTCAATCTCCGATTTACACCTCAAAATCATATAATCTAGTCGGATTATTTGATGATAATTCAATATTATGGAGTAGAAATGATCACAAGGGACTTATCTCAAGTTTTCCTTTAAAATATATCAAAAACCGTCTCTCCTCAAGCTCCAATTTGTCAAAAATGGCGAATGGGACGAAGTCCCTCTTTTTATAATTCTGCCTAGACAACCTCGGTTCTGCCTCGATCTTGGCCTTCGATCGAGGTCCTCGATCCTAGGCCTCGATCCTGACCCTCGATCCTAGGCCTCGATCGTGGCTTCGATCCTCATCCTCGATCATGGCCCTCGACCCTGGCCTTCGATCATGTCTTTGACCCTGCCTTCGATCGTGGCCCTCGACCCTGGGCTCGATCATGGCTTCGATCGTGGCCCTAGACCCTGGGCTCGATCTAGGCTCACATCTAGGCTCGAATCTGGCAGAAGAAATTTCCAACAGAAGGAAATTGCAGCAGCTGTTGTAGTTTAATTTTTGATCTGTTAACCATCCGAAACTCACCCGAGGCCCTCGGGACATCAACCAAATATACCAACAAGTTCTAAAACCTCATACGAACTTAGTCGAATCCTCAAATCATCTCAAACTATGCTAAAACCATGAATTACGCCCCAATTCAAGCCTATTGAACTTTGAAATTTCTAATTTCTACAAATAACGCCGAAACGTATCAAAGCACGTCCGATTGACCTCAATTTTGCACGCAAGTCATAAATGATATAACATACCTATTAAAATTTTCAGAATTGGATTTCGATCCCGATATCAAAAAGTTAACCCCTCGGTCAAACTTCCCAAAATTCAACTTTCGGCATTTCAAGTCTAATTCCTCTACGAACCAACAAAAATTCTTCTGGACATGCTCCTAAGTCTGAAATCACCATACGGAGCTATTGAAATTATCAGAATCTGAATCCGAGGTCGTTTACGCATAGGTCCATATCCGGTCTACTTTTCTAACTTAATTTTTTCAATTATGAGACTAAGTGTCTCATTTCACTTCGAATTCCTTCCAGACCCGAACCAACTAACCCGATAAGTCATAAATTAATAGCAAGGCATAAATTGAGCAGTAAATAGGGAAATAGGATTATAATGTTCAAAACAACCGGCCGGGTCGTTACAAAACCAGTTCAAAGGAAAAAGAGTGCAACGCATGCTTTCAGACCTAGAATCTCGTATCATCCTTTGTAAGTTGCCTGCAAGTGTGAGTTTAAAAAGTAAATAAAATATAGAACTGGGGTCGTACCTTAGCACTAATATCGCTTTAAGTGAGTTATATTCCCGTTGTTCGATAATTGCTCGCCGTTCATTGTTCCGAGCTTGTAGGATCCCTTCTCCGGTGATCTTGGTAATTTGGTATGGTCCTTCCCAGTTCGGGCCCAATTTTCCTTCGTTCGGATTTCGGATGCTCAGCGTGACTTTTCTTAGTACCAAATCCCCGATGTTGAAATATCGGAGGTTGGCTCTTCGATTATAATACCTCTAGATTTGTTGCTTCTGGGCAGCCAATCCACTACAAGAAAAGTGCCATTTACATGGGGATTGTTTTAGGGATTATAATGTAAAATTCGCATGTAAAATATTTACCTGGGGATTTTCATGTAAACGGGAATCCTCAGGAATAAAGGTCGTGGGTAACTATTACCTGCAAATTTTAATATCCCTAGGTACGTTACCTGGGGATAAATTGGCAGTATGTAAATTACCTGGGAATGTTAAATCCCTATGTAAGTTACTTGCGGACTTTTCCGCAAGGAATATCAAAAATTTATAAGTAAATTTTGGTAAAACATTGTGAAAGAAAGGAGTTTTCCTAGGGATTTTCATGGGCAAATATTCGCATGTAATTCCGCAGTAAAACCTCCAAGTAATATTGCAGGAAATATTCAATAAAAATTTTGTGGAAAAAGAGAATTTCTTGGGAATTTGATGTGATAATTTCGCAGGAGAATTCCTAACAAAATCCCCATGTACTGTATTTTGTTTCAAGCAAACAACTCTGCACAAATCCGAAGTAATATATAGCCAAAATATGATCCATAAATTAATAAATAATAATGCATAATTCCTAAATGAAAAAAATTAGGCCAAATACACAGACAACCCCTTAATGTTGCCAGCAAAATCCATTTAAATACCTCAACTAACCCTTATATCTATTAGACACTCAAACACTCATTGAAGTGTACCTATTGAACCTTTCATGCACATGTGGCACAAAGAGTGAGTTTCACTTCAGGTCCCGCGCGTGAATGAATAATTAAAATATAATTTTATTTATTATCTTTCTTCTTCACTCTCCTTGGTCGCATGAATCAGTCATCTTCACATTTTCAAGCTTCTCACCAATTTTCTTCTTAAATCTTCTTGATAACATTCTTCTTCACAAAAATTATAAAATTAACACAACTCAAAATTACACACGATCAAAAATAATATCTTGAAATTGATAATAACATCACTCTCTCCGCCACCACCAACTACCCTTGCTTCGTCCTCACTCCACCCTCACCAAAAATTTCATCAATGTTTGCTCCATTTGGCAAGAACTCATATGGCAAGAACTCAGAAGCGAAAATATTGGACTATTTCTAATTAAGTCCAAAACTAAGTGCAACAGCTCTAAAAAATGTCAATTGACCCAATTAAGTTCTAAAATTCAACACATCCCACTTCAAATCAAGCGTTATTTTCTTCAATTTCCTTATCTTCAAGGAGTTTGGTGTTTGATTTGGAACAATAAATTTATTGGAAAGCAAGTTGAGATGATAAGCTTTGTTACGGGAGGAATCCAAGGAGTCATCGGTATCGATTTTTATCGCGGGTTTTCTTCATTTGTTGAGGCACTATTATAGTTGTCATTTGTTTAGGTGTTGCAAAACAAGAACTTGGTCGTATAATATGAATTCTAGCATAATTTGGTTTGAAAATGAGGAATACAAACATACCGGTGCATGATTTGGTAGTGTGGATCTTGAAAAGCAAAACAAGAATACTAGCCAAATGGCTCATATCTCTTGCTAACCTGAATATATTCGTCTTTCTTTAGAGTTTAGATGATGAAGAAGAAGAAACAACAGAAAAACAACATAAAAAAAGAGAAACAATGGAGAAGAAAATGAACGACGCCGGACATGAAGGAAGGGGGATAATAGAAAGGAAGTTTTTCTTTTTTTGGCTTAAAGTCTTTTGCTTTTCCTTTTAAGTTTTGTTTTATTCTTTTGTATTTTACACGTGTCACCTATTAATTGGTCCCTTTTCACATCAGCAGAGAGTAAAAACACGCGCTCCTTTTTGACAAAAATTGTGACTCAAGTGTTTAATAGGTACACTTGAGTGAGTGTTGAAGTGTCTAATAGGTGCAAGGGTGAGTTGAGGTGTCTAAATGAATTTTGGTGCCAACTTTAAGGGGTTGTTTATGTATTTGGCCAAAAAATTAAAAGTCTAAACTATGAATCTTAAATAATACTACCAAGTATCTCAATCCTGATCATATTCATCTGAAATAGTACAACCAAGTATCTCAATCCAAATCATACTGATCTACCGAGTTGTTGTTATCATCATTATCACTCTGTGAATCTTGATTGTCTTCCGAAGATGATGATTGTGCATTCGAAGATGATGTCGGGTAACCCACATGCTTTATCAATGCTGCTAATTTCTCATTTGTGTCACCTAACTCCTTCCTCATTTTTTTGTTTTGGTGTCTCATCTTTTTATTTTGGCGCCTCATCTCTTTATTTTGGCGTTGTGTTTCTTCCAACTGATTATATAACTCAGCATTTAACGCATGAACTTGGGCTCTAATCCGATCATCAACTTCTTCCGACACATCAAATATTGTTTGCTTAGGTACTTTTACAGATCGACCCAAAGAGCCAAGGCCTGCAACTCTTCCATTTTTCTTTCCACCAACTGATAGCACCCAAATATCCATTTCACTTAATTGAGATTGCTCGCTAGCTAAATTAGTTTCTCCATCAACATATGCACTTTGGGAAGCTAATAATTCTTCTTTTTTTTTCAAAATTATTCTGCACAAAAGCATTGAAACAAATATTAGTGATTTTGCATCCACTGTTCATATGAACACGGAGGTTGTCAATTGCTTGTGTAATGTCTGATTGCTTGTGTAGATGGGACAGGTAATTCTGGCAAGACAATTTCATTTCAACTATACTACTCCAGATAGAATGCAACAAGATATGTTATGATCTTGCGATAAAAGATGATTAAGGGATTTATGTGTTGAATTTTCTAATAGTAATTACTTTGAAGCAAGGGGGACGGGAAAAGTGCATGGGTTCACAGTCCTCACACCCCTCGGGCTCCTAAGCAACAAGCAACAAGCAATTGTCACTATGCAATATTTTAGAGGGGTTAATTGATCGTGACTTTGCAAGGGTGATGCTGGTTTATGGTTCAATCAGAAGCTTTACTTTGATAAAGCTAGTAGGTCCAATTTAGAAAGATTAATATTACTCTTGTTTATTATCACTACAATAAAATAATGGCTACTTGGCCACTTTCTTTTTCTTCTCTCCTTTTCTTTCTTTTATGTTTTTCATAATGGTATAATCTAAAAATCTGCCTAGGCCCTGATAAGGCATAATTACATAGAGCAAGCTTGTGTAAGTTTGTTGGACTATTAAATTCTTTGCTCTTTTTGAAACAACCAATTTATTTATCAACTTAATAGAGTAACGACAGTTAAATAATTTCAATACATATATGTTGTAGAAGGAAGACTTACATAAGCAGCTTCAACTTTCTCATTTACCCAACTTTTATCTTTCTCTTTTCGATGAGTGCGAAAATAAAATTCTGAAATCTTTTTCACTAGCTTCCTTCTGTAATTAAAGGAAGATATGTATGCTATCAGCATTTATATGATCTATTTACTAGAAAGAAAAAATTAAAAAGGAACTACATATTACCAATCTCTTCCAAATCACGCGATGAGGTATACAACCACCTGTATGACCCGAGGCACCTGCATTTGCATCGCGATTCTTTTTGTTTTGTTCCGACTTTAACTTAAATTGAGGAGACTCCCAATGCTTATTCATCTCCTTGAATACAGCATCACCCATCCAATTTGGCTTCACACACAAGTCCTTTCTAACATCTTGGAAAAGTTGGGTCATTCTTGAAGATGCCCTTTTTCTCAAAATTGCGTCATATAACATCATTATAGTGAGGGAGCCATCTAAATTTCTTCTATAGTATTTTATAACACAACACATCAAAATAAAATTTGAATCAGTCCTATAAACTTACACCCCAACATTTGAACGTGAATCATATTATAAACATCCTTACCTTGAATTCATCAAACCACATATCCCGGGTAGATTGTGGGAATTTTTTCCAAGAAGGTTTAGCCAGCTCAAATTTACTACGAATGCAACTAGCAATGCCTTCAATAACTGGCTTATGAGGATCAAACCTACATAAAAATGCAGTAGTTATCAATCATTTATAAATTAACTAGGTAGTTTCACTCATCCTTCCATTCAATCAATTCCCATCAATTAATCACATCAAATCTGTCAAAACCATTGTCTGTAAATAGTTAAATTTAGACTATTACAAGGCTCGTGCACGTGACGAGTTTACTACCACTTCAAGCTAGAAAACTGAGGACTAAGATTTCTAAAAGGTGTTGGTCTCTACTTATATTGGCATTTCAGAGGGGGGAGATGATCTCCCCAAACCAACACACTTCAGCATGCCAAATAAAGTGGAAGGAACAGTTAAACAGAAAATTTGTGAAATTAATCCCTTCTGTCTTGATTATTGAAGTGGCAACTTGGGGCAGCTTGCTATTTATACATAGCAAAAGAAGCAACATAGAGTGGGATAGACATAATGGACTCACCTTTAAGCTAAACCATGAACAAGAGAACTCATTTCTTTTTCAGGAGATTCATGAAAATAGCCTACGAACTTAGTTGATCACTGTCCATTACTGTTGCTAACAACTAAGTATTCAATTTCCTCAGAACAATTTTAGCAATCTGTCATGGGCTGCAACTGATATCAGTTACCTCAGCAAGAACTACAAAATTTGCACTACTCAGAACAGAGAACAATAATATAGTCAAAGAAATCACATGCAAAGATTACAATTTGAACTAAGTTGCACTTTCACTATTGTCTACAAGCAATCATACAAAACAGAAGTCAGTATTAATAACATATTATACCATATTAGAGCATCAAAGAACCAAAGCATGTGTACTAAATAATATACTTACCCATCTTCTTCAGGTACAATCCACATTCGACCATCATCATTGCCATTATCATTGCCACCGCCTACCGCACTACACGAGGTGGCTGGAGTCACATTGGTTGGTGAAGACATATGCGGTTGAGTGACTGTATTTATAGGTTGCGACTGATTAGATTGAGGCTGAGACACAGTGTTATGAGGTTGGGGTCGATTGGCTCTAATACTTGGTTGAGGCAGATTGACTTCAGGAGTAGGTTGAGGCAAGAAAGTCTCATGTACATGAAGTAAACTAGTTTGAGATAGGAGGGATTGTGATGGGATTACGCAAGGCATTTGAGCTGCTTGAGGCTCTATTGTGTGTGTCTTCCTTTTACGAAATTTTTCTCCTTTACCATTAGTTTGCCCAGCTTGTTTAGATCCTGTATTACCTGACATCTGGGGGAAGAAACAAATAATGTTGATACAATCTTTAGTAAGCTGACAGATAACTAGGTTCATAACTTAAGAAGAAAAACATGATACATAACAGTAGACCAACATAACTAATTATTTAAGAGAGCCAAATATGCAAACATTAGATTACTTCAAGACCGTAAGAAAAATAAGATATCATTTACTGTAAATACCATCTTGAAGTTTAGAATACCAGAGGGAATTCTTAGATTCCAATCAGTTTACTCAAACAAATATTTGTCCCCGGAAAAGAAATAACTTTAGCCATTTAAGAATTAGTTGATGAAGTTATTTTAGCCATTCCACATATCTCTTCAAAGAAACTCTCACAATGGCCTCAAAAATTGACAAATACAACTATAATGAATATTAAGACCATAACATGACAAGACCAAAGTTAAACGCCTAAAGCCATGGACAAAGGAGATAAAAAACTATCTAGATGAAGAAGCAAGAATGTATGTGGGTTGCCTTCTTCAGGCCTTTGCCGAGGATTACCGACCGTGAGAGGAAAGCCTTGGATGGAGAATAATTGTATTTTGGAGAAACCCTTGAGCCCTAGAATTTGGTATTGCAATGTGAAGGGTTTCAGAAATTGAGAGCCATCTTAGAGAGGGAAAACATCCCGCGTTTTGTATTTGGCAAAAAAACTTAAGAGGGAAACAATTCAATTGTGCGTTTTATTTCTTTTCAATTGTATTTATTTAATTTTATGTATAATTCTTATCTTTATAAATCTATATTTATTTATTTTAAGTGAAAATTCTTGAATATATAAATAAAACTATCTCATTGTTAAAAAAATATAAATAATAAGTCATGGAAAATATATATAATTTTCACTTTTTAAAAAAACCAAAAAGTAAAATTCACATGACTTAAAAAATCCTTTAATTTTTGACTATCCTACCCAATTTGATGTCATTATATATTGTCCGCAAGTGCAAATTGATTTTTTTATTCTTTGATCTAAAGTTATTCATTTTTAATATCAAAGAGTAATTGATTGGATGTCTTAGTGATACTTATCGTTGTACTTAGAATTGTGTTCGAAATAAATAAATAAAAAAATTCTCACTAATATAATTATTTTAATAAGATAAAACTATAATTAATAAAACAATACTTATAGTAATCTTACTATCATCGAGGCCAAAAGCAATATGTGGCAAAACATCATCACCATCAATGATAGTAAGATTACTATAAGTATTATCGTCGAGCAAACTAAGTATAAAGGTGATATATTAGTTTATATAAGGAATATATTTGCTTATATCACCTTTATATTGGTTTATAAACCAACAAACCAATCTATCAATGTTATAGTTAGTTTACTTATATATTGCTTATATAAACCAATATATCACATTTATAGTCAGTCTACTCGACGATAATGACTATAACAGTGAGTCTCTCTACTCCTTAATAATCATTAAAAAATAATTATTTTTTTTAATAAAACGCTGTGGACAGGAGTGTTAGTGGATATGGAGTAGGCGAAGTGTATCATTTGTAATGGAAAGAAAGATACCATAAAAGTCAATTATTTGTTGATAATATACTTCTACAATGTATTTCACGTGGCTCAATAACACATGAAATTTCTCAAATAATACCGCAGGTATAAATATCCCCATGTAAATCCCCAAGAATAAGTCCCGAGCTAAAATCGCAACAACTTTATTCCCATGTAATTCTGCAGGTACTAATATCCCCAAGTAAATCTCCAAGAATAAATCCTCAACTAAAATTACAGTAACTATATCCCCAGTTAATTCCACAGGTACATATATCTCTAGGTAAATCCCCAAGAATAGATCCCCCAACAAAATCTGCAGCAAGAACATCCCCAAGTAATTTCCCAAGTAAATAATATCCCCATATAAAACCCCAAGTGATTATCCCTAGCAAAACTTGCAGATCATGCGGATTATCATAGGAAACATTATTATTTTTTTTTCGTTCTCGTTCCAGCGGAGTTACCTGCGAATATGGTACATGCGAATTGAATTCTCAACTAATTCCCCAAGTGTTATTTTCGCGCTAGATGGCGCTAAGTATACCTGTGGAATTGCTTGGGAATCCCGTTTTCGCAAGTACAATATTCTTATATTTAGGAATTTTAGATTTTTCCATGAAAATCCGCATGTATTACCTGCAGAAAAAAATTCCATGTAAAATCCCCATGTAAATGACACTTTTCTTGTAGTGATCTGTCACGACCCGAAACTTCCCACCGACGGGACCGTGATGGCGCCTAACATTTCACTTGCTAGGCAAGCCAACGTTAGAGAATCATTAAACTAATTCATTTTTCCCATTCAGTAATTAACAGTAATTAACTAAGATAAAATATAATAAGTAGGGAATATCATAAAACTATATTAATTACTACCACCCGGATCTAGAGTCACAATTCACGAGCATTCTAGAATTTGCTACAAGTAATAGTTTGAAAGAAATACAACTTTCTGAATGAAAGAAACAGTAGAACAGAAAAGATAGACGGGGACTTCAAGGTCTGTGAACGCCGACAGATCTACCTTGAGTCTCCGGACAGCGGACTAATAGCAAAATCTCGATCAACCCGAGACGGTATCAAAATTTGCACAGAAAGTGCAGAGTGCAGTATCAGTACAACCGACCCCATGTACTGGTAAGTGTCGAGCCTAACCTCATCGAAGTAGTGACGAGGCTAAGGCAAGGCACCTACAATTCAACCTGTATAATTTAACAGTGTATATACAAATAACAGAAATAAAGAACTAAACAGGAAATATCGGAAGGGGAACATACTGAGGGGAATACAAGATAAAGAACTACAACAGAATGATCACCGGAGCAGTCAATATACCATGAATCAACAGGAATAGTGAATACAATAAGAAAAAATGCACGGTATCGCCCTTCGTGCTTTTACTCTCAATCTCACCATAAAATTAATAGAAACGGTACGGCATCACCCTTCGTGCATTAACACTCATATCATGGCACGACATCACCCTTCGTGCATTAATACTCACAATATAGCACGCATCACCCTTCGTGCATTAACACTCATAATATGGCATGGCATCACCTTTCGTGCATTAACACTCTCCTTTACCATAATGCAATGCATAAATAACAGCAGGGAGATAGAATAACAATACAAAACTTACTTCTACATTTGGTTCCATAATATCAATCTCAACTTTGAAATAAAAACTCAATTATCACTAGAAGATCCAAAAACATGATAAGAACGATAAACTGAACAACACTAGTATAACATGCAGCAATTAGGCATAGGAATGAGACAATATAAGAAAAATAGAGAAATATGGAAAACAGGTAAATTGGCAGCGCATAAGAACTCGTCACTTCACATATGCGCAACTCACATGAATTTCACTTAACAAGTAATCTAAGGTTCCTAATTCCCTCAAGTCAGGGTTAGACACAACACTTACCTCGCTCCGAAGGCCACTTAATTTTCAATCATAGCTTTTCCTCTAGAATTCACCTCTAAATCACTCGTATCTATTCAAAAATGACTCAATAATATTAAATACTGCTAAAGGAATCAATTATATTGCATAATTTAAATTTCCCAAATTTTCCTCAAAAAGTCAAAAAATCGACCCCGGGCTCGCTTGGTCAAAACTTGAGGTTCGGACCAAAATTTATTTACCCATTCACCCCCGAGCCCGAATAAATAATTGTTTTTGGAATCCGACTTCAAATTGAGGTCTAATTCCCCAAATTTTCGAAATTCCTAGTTTGTACCCTAACCCCTAATTCTACCATAAAAACTCTAGATTTTAGGTTGAAAATTCAAAAAATGTAATGGGTAATTGAAAGAAAATGGTTTAGAATCACTTACCAACACTTTGGGGAAAAAATGACTCTTGGAAAATCGCCTCACACCGTTTGGTTTTTGAGAAAAAAAAATGAATTTTTGACTAAATCCCGTGTTTGGATTCTGTTACGTGCTGGGCGACAGTGTTCATCGCGTTCGCGAGAACACTATCGCGTTCGCGAAGAGTATAGGCTGCCAAGCCTTCGCGTTCGCGAGACAGTGCTCGCGTTCGCGTAGGCTACCCTTCTCTGGTCTTCGCGTTCGCGAGACAGTGTTCGATTTCGCGATGAAGAAAATGCTAACTCCCCCTCCCCGGTGCCTAACACTACGTGTTCGTGAGTAGCTAGTCACGTTCGCGAAGGGTAACGCCCCCATCGCTTCGCGTTCATGACAAAGCCTTCGCGTTCGCGAAGAAGAAAACTTCAGCTGCCCAGTTTACTCTTCGCGTTCGCGAGAGTACCTTCGCAAACGCGAAGAAGGACATGCTAGAACACGTGCTACAGCAAAATACTAGATTTTCAAAGTCTAAAACATCCTGTGGCCTATTCGAAACTCACCCGAGCCCTCTGGGCTCCAAACCAAACATGCACACAATTCTAAAAATATCATACGAACTTGCTCGCGCGATCAAATTGCCAAAATAACACCTAGAACTCTAAATTTAGCACTAAATCAAATGAAATTCTCAAGAACACTTTAAAGTTCATATCTTCTCAACTGGACGTCCGAATCACGTCAAATCAACTCCGTTTCTCACCAAATTTGACAAACAAGTCTTAAATATCATAATGAACCTGTACCGGGCTCTGGAACCAGAATACGAAACCGGCACTAACAATGCCAAACATCAATCAATTCTTAAAAATAATTAACTTTTAGACTTTAATTTTCATCAAAAATTCATAACTTGAGCTAGGGACCTCTGAATTCGATTTCGGGCATACGCCCAGGTCCCATAATTCTATACGAACCCACCGGGACCGTCAAAGCACGGATCCAGGCCTGTTTACCAATAATGTTGACCATAGTCAACTAAAATTAACTTTTAAGGCATAAATTCTTATTTTCATCAATTTTCAACATAAAATCTTTCCGGAAATATGTTCGGATTGTGCACGCAAATCGAGGAGGGTAAAAAATGAGATTTTTAAGGCTTAAGAGCGCAGATTCGAGTTCTAAAACATAAGATGATCTTTTGGGTCATCACATTCTCCACCTCTAAAACAATCGTTCGTCCTCGAAACGGACATAGAAAATATTTGGGCTGGTGAAAAAGTGGGGATATCTACCCCGCATATCGGACTCGGACTCCCAAGTAGCTGCCTCAATAGGCTGACCTCTCCACTGCACTTGAACTGAAGGGTAACTCTTTGATCTCAACTGGTGAACTTGTCGGGCTAGAATTGCCACCGGCTCCTCCTCGTAAGTCAAATCCTTGTCCTACTGGACAGAGCTAAAATCGAACACATGGGACGGATCGTCGTGATACTTTCAAAGCATGGACATATGGAATACCGAATGAACAACTGCTAAACTAGGTGGCAACGCAAGCCTATAAGTCACCTCTCTCACTCTCTCCAGAATCTCAAAAGGTCTGATATACCTAGGGCTCAACTTGCCCTTCTTTCTGAACCTCATTACACCCTTCAT